CCAAGGAAATTTCAATCGCGCCCCACGCGGCGGAGGGCGTGGGCCCATGGCCTTTGGGAACAAGCGTGGCCCGCCAAGTGATGGCAACGGCAGGAGCTTTCGAGGCTCTTGCTACCGCTGCGGGCAGCCGGGACACATGGCCAACGCTTGCCCTGAAAATGGGGTGGGAGCACAAGGGCCCGCACCGGTGGTGTGAACTCCCGAAAGGGCAATCACCCGGTGTCGAGGGGCATGATCAAGGTAGCACTAGGGAGTGTAAGGCCGCTGGCCGTTTTCCCGTAGGAGATGGTAGAATGGCCGCGGGCCAACCCCAAGGCAAGGGGATAGGACTAGGAGTCCTAGAGTAAAGCATTTAATGAAATGGTGGATTTCTTGTGTGCATTATTGAGGGCTCGGAATGCATAATGGGCTATGTTTGTGAAAACGGTGATTTTTGTGTGACTTACTAAGGCCCTTGGTTTCAACGTGTGTAAGAAGCTGCAACGGGAGCAGCCACAAGCCTCTGAAAAAAAAAAAAAAAAAAAAAAAAAAAAAAAAAAAAAAAAAAAAAAAAAAAAAAAAAACCAGAGAATAAGAGCAAGAGAGAGAAAGAGGGAAACAAGCGAGAGAGAAAACTACGAAGGGAGGGAGTTTTTTGTTCCCACTAAGCCAGGAGCCCGAGACGCAAGGCAAGGTTTCCATGGTCTTAAGAAGGGGACGGCAGCCAGGACGGCTATCCAACGAATCTGGAGAACGGCAAGCATGATCATGCAAAAAAAACAAACAAACAAACAAAAAGAGGGGGAAGGAAGGAAGAGCGCGAGCGAGATGTTCACCGTGATGAGCTCACCGAGCAAAAGAAGGAGCTGCCCTACGAGCACCACATGTTAGGCACAGGGCGGAACACCCAAGTGCATGCAATCAGGCAAACGAACTCATGAAAACAAAAACAAAAAAAAAAAATCAACAACAACAACGAGAGAGAAAGGAAGAGAGAGAAAAAGAGAGAGCGAGAGTGAGAACCTCACGGGGGACCTACATTGCCGCATACCTTGCTTAACGAAGCATGTCCCATGCTGCCCCGAACCCCATGGTCCACAGATACACCGGGTATCGGCTCGATGGTTGAGTATGACCCGTACGAGATCGCGATCACCGACAAGCTCGTCACGACCATGCGCGGACGCCTGCGCGCAGCATTTCCTTGGTGGAGCTCATGGTGCGAGAGTAGCTTCATACTCTCGGTGGTTTTAAATGGCTATTGGATGCCATGGAAGCATGGGCCCCCCACGCCGTTTCAGAAAGACAACCACGCGGGAGCACTAATCCACTCAAAGTTCACCAAGCAGGCCATAATCGAGCTCCTTGATAGTGGTGCGGCCATTATCGCCCCCGGATCCCAACAGCTCTGCATCAGTCCACTAAATGTGGTGGTTCAAAGAGACAAGTGCCGACTGATTCTTGACCTCAGAAGAGTAAACCAAAATCTGAGCATCCCCAAATTCAAGTACGAGGGATTGAAGCGGGTGGCGGAGCTCGTCAGCATAGGCGATTGGATGTTCGCTGTCGACCTCAAATCAGGATACCACCACGTCGACATCCATCCGTCATGCTGGAAGTACCTGGGATTCCAATTCGACGGGCGCTCATACATCTTTCGTTCCCTCCCTTTCGGCCTCGCGACGGCCCCATTTGTATTCACGCAACTTATCAAGCAGCTCGCCCGCCGCTGGCGGGCCCTCGGGGTACGAGTCATCCCGTACGTTGACGACATCATATTTTTGTGTCACACGGAAGCAGAGGCTCGAACTACGTGTCAGATGGTGGTGGAGGACCTCAACAAGGCGGGGCTAGTCATTAATTCTAAGAAGTCTCATCTGCAACCCACCCAGCAGCTGCGCTTTCTGGGTGTCGAACTGGATACTAAGCACGGCCAGTTCTCCATTGGTCCCGAGCGGCGTACATCGTTACGCTCGACCATTCAAGAACTTTGCATGGCAGGCAGAGCCAAGCGCAAGGTCCCGATCCGCCATGTAGCGAGGGTCATTGGCATGCTCGCTTCGATGTCACTTGCCATCGGCGCAACTGCGCGGGCATTTAGCCAGAACCTGCTGCAGACCATTCAGGAGGCCGCTTCATGGAACAGCAAGGTGCCATTAGTCCCCGCCGTAATCGAGGAACTCGAGTTTTGGCTGCAAGAATTCGACAACTTCAATGGCGCCTCCTTCCACGTCCCGAGCAGCTATGACGCAGTGATCCATGTGGACGCCAGCGCACACAGTTGGGGAGCCACACTCGACACGTTCCCGGGAGGGCGAACCGAGGCGAATGCAGCAATGCCCGAGCATCTCACAAGGACCTCGAGCACGCAACGAGAAATGGAAGGAGTTCTATGGGCTCTCCAAACGTTCGCGGGAGGGATCCACAACCGACACGTCCTAGCCAGACTGACAACCAAGGCGTATTCTTCATTCTTCGCAAAGGCGGCTCTCGAAGCCCTAGTCTCACCACAACATGCAGAGCCATTATTCAAACGTGCATGGCCTCGAGGATTCGCCTGACGGTCGAATGGATACCACGCGAGCTCAACACACGCGCGGACGAACTCTCCAAGATGATCGATCGAGATGACTACTCAATTAAAGCACCGTGGTTCCGCCTCATTGAGCGGCGTTTGGGACCGCACTCCATCGATCTATTCGCCAATGCAAGCAACACACAGTTAGCCCGCTTCTGTTCCAAAACACCTCACCCGGACGCAGAGGCTACCGACGCCTTCTCAATATCATGGAACGCTGAGCACGGTTATGCTTTCCCACCACCACACCTCATCCCAGCAGTGCTTCACCACGCCCAACGGACGCGAGCATCGCTCACGCTCGTAGTGCCTCATTGGCGAGGGGCAAGCTGGTGGCCGTTGCTACAAACCACCCCACCGAAGTGGGCCCCTTACATTTGCGCTCACATCCACCTCACCCATGGGAGTCAGTGCCTCACCGCGGGCACCCACACTTGTGCCTTCTCTGGCGAAGGAATGCCTCATAGCCCTATTCTCGCTTTCCGAGTGTCGTTCGCTACCTGACCTCTCACGAACCTGGTGCAGGATTACTTGAGAGGCTCAAGCAAGAATTGCTCCGTATAACTGCGCAAACACGGGCCGACTCAACGATTCGCACCTACGAGCCGTACTGGGCCAAGTTCCGCGCGTTCTGCAAACGAGTCAAGCTACAGTTTCTGCCATGCACAGACATGACGCTCGCGTTATACCTGGTCCATGCGATTCAACAAAAAGCCACTGTATCAGTGATACAACTGACATGCTCGACAGTCCGCTTCGCACATCGGATGATCGGGGCCCCGTGCCCATCAACTGGGCCGTTCACATCCCAAGTGCGGGAATTCGCCAAGCGACATTGCCCGCGCCCCCGACGACTCAAAGAGCCCATCTCTTTGCACCAAGTCCACGAAATGGCGTCGGAATACCTGGAGTCAAACAACCCCGGCGAGTTCCAGAAGGGACTCATCCCAATCCTAATGTACGCCGGCCTTCTACGCTACTCGGACCTCGTCGAAATTAAGTGGCACGACATCCAGTTCGAGGAAGACGCCATGTGGCTCTTTATTCCCCGCTCAAAGACTGACCAGGCAGGAGAAGGTGCATGGGTTCCAGTAGCAGCAAGCTCAGGTCCCTTCTGCCCCGTACGGTGCACCAAGCGCTTCATCCAATTGGCGGGATACAACCATGCACAAAGAGGCCCGCTCATACGAGTTTTCGGTCAAGACACCACGAGTCTCGGCACTGCCGCCACTTCACCATCCTACACAACAATCCGCAACTGGTGCAAGGAGGCATTCCAAAAGATCGGCTTAGGTCTCGAGCATCTCGGCACCCACTCTTTTCGCAAAGGCGCAGCCACTGCCGCCGCCAACTCAGGAGTACCAGATCGCTTTTTGAAACAGTTGGGACGGTGGCGCAGCGATACTGCCAAGGAGATGTACATCACCCCGGAGGTCGATCAACTGGTCGAAGCGTCTCGACACGTTCAAGACCCGGCACGAGCCTCGTCACCAGTGCAACACTCAGCGGCTCTGATGCGACGACGACAACCTCCACTGCACATGTCTCAGAAGACCCATTTGAAATGAGACGATGCCATTGCTACATGAAAGAAAGCAAGCTTTCTAAATATGAATATTTTTAAAAGAATAACGCTTTTCAAAATTTCGTATTTTGAAAGCGAAGCAGTCTGTAATGTAGGAATGGGCAGCGACGAACCGCGCTAAACGCCCGTTTTGGAGTACAAAACGTGGGCTGGAGGTCATTTCCCTCCACCCACGTCTCTCATTTTCAAACGGTTTAGCCGATTTTCCCGCCCACCCACCCCTTGAAATGTGTTAGCACATTAGTCTGATAGGCTGCTTGGATTTCAAATTGTACTAAACCCATTTGAAATGAGACGATGCCATTGCTACATGAAAGAAAGCAAGCTTTCTAAATCTACAACATTCCTACTTTAACAAGATCTTAGCCTTGAAAGATCCTAAGGTCTATTTCTCAGCCCAACACACCCTCGAGAGGGGGGGGGGGCTTATAATCGAGTTCCGGCCATAAGCGCCATGCTCCAGATAGAGGCGCCCTTAATCGGATGGCGCCTATATCCGGGGCCATTCGGTAACAACAGCTCCAACAATTGGACCCTTCACACAAAATTTCTGGACGAGGAACAGACGAAATAATGTCAGAGAATAATAATATTGTAATAGTGTGTACGTGAATATACACTACTGTATATAATAACAAACGATTACACGAGTACGTTAGTATGACTAGGTGCTCCGAACACTACTGGTACTGTACTGCTGCTGGCCTGTAACTTAGCCATGAAAGAATGGGTGCTTGTAATGAAGCAGAAAGTGGCTGGTGGCACATGGTGCTACCCCTTCTGGTACACAGGCTGGCAGCTGCTGCTGACAGGCGGGCTGCTGCTGACAGGTATCCCTTTCGTTCGGCTCACATCGCATCACATGGTGTCCCTTCTGTGTGCAGCAGCAGGCACACATACCCGCACATGTGAGAAACGCTGCTGCAGGCACATCAGCCCTTTCACTAACAGCTCCTGCCGCCTCACTGCACCCATGTACTCCGCTGCTGCTCCGGCTGTTGCACCACCGGCTGTAGCGCAGGCAGCAGGTGCTGCTGTTGGTGTTGCTGCTGGTGCTGCTGCGGTGGCACTCATAGGGCCATCCGCCTCTTCTCCAGTCATATTGACATCCTTCTCCTCTTCCTCCTCCCACTCCTCCCCCATTCCCTCATCCTCCATCTCCCCCTCCTCCCCCATCCCCTCCTCCATCTCCCCTTCAACCTCCTCTCCCTCATACCCCTCATCTCCCTCCTCCTCCTCTACCTCTTCCTCCTCCTCATCATCCCCGGGAACTAAGCTTACTTGGAGTGATCTCAGGGAAGGCATGCGGCACAGCATGGTGTGCAGCAGAAGCAGCGCCTCGGGTCGCTCCTCCTGCACGCGCACCTTAATCTCCGCCAGTTGCGGCCATGGGTAATCCGCGCGCATTTCGTACCCGCGTTCCGCGTACCCGCCTTGCGCGCGCCCGCCGTCCGCGCGGAACGCGCCCGCCGCGGCCGCCCACGAGACGACGAGCTGCCACGGCAGCGCGCCGAAGCTGAGCGCCTTCAGGTTCGGACACGAGGCTGCGAGCCAGGTCAGGGAGAACACTCCAGCGGAAATCGCGCCGGGTCCCGCGGAGAAGAAGTCCAGCGAGAAGGAGATTAAAGACGCGCCCGCGGTTTGAACCAGGGCTTTAATCGCCGCCCAGCCGAACGACCCGGCTTTGAGGTCCAGCGAGGCGAGGAGCGGCGAATCAGGAGCCGCCACCTCGAGCACGCTCGCGCTGGCGACCGCCACGTGGCGCAGAACCGGCGCGTCGCGCACCGAGACGGAGCGCACGAACATGTCTCGAACGGATAGGGAGCGGAGCGCGCGGGCGTTACGGAAGGAGCAGGAATCGGCGCGCAGATACGCGAGCTCGACGTGCTCCACTGTAGCGGGCAGGCGAAGATTTATTCGCGGGCAGCCCGTTGCCATAAAAATGGAGAGGCGGCGAAGGTTCGGCGAAGCGTCGAGGACGGCTTGAAGGCTATCATTGGACGCGTGAATCCAGGAGAGCGAGAGGTGTTCCAGGTGTCGCATTGGCGGCAGGTGACACGTCAGCAGGGACGACGAGAGCGACAGGGAGCCCAGGGAGAGGGATCGCAGCGACGAACAATGGCGCGCCACGTGGCGCAAATGCACACTGAGATCCTCGTTCTCCCACACGTTCACCGTCATCCTGCCGGTCGCGCCGCAAGAACCGCCGTATGAGCCGGCGCAACTGCTGCTGCGCGGCGGAGGTTGCAGGGAGCGCGAGAAGACGAGCGATTGTAATTGAGGTCCGACGTGGCGCATCCACGCTTCGAAGATGAATTCGCGCGGGTGCTGCTGCGGAGCCGCCACGTGGCAGCCGCAGAAATTGCAGCAGCCGTTCGACTCGCTGCCACTCGCGCCAGCACCAGCGCACGCGGCGTGATGATGCCGCTCCGCCGCGCCGCTGCCGTCATTCTCTGCGCAAGAACAGGCGCCAGCGCCGTCGGCGGCCAACGCCGACGCCACGTGGAGGTGTTGCAGCGACCGCGTTTTCAGGACCATGCGCGACACGAGCTCCTCCAGTCGCGCGGGAGAGGCTGTCACCGCAACGCGGTCACCGCTTGCCACGTCAGATGGGGCGAAACGGAGTGCTGGGACGTAGCGCGTGAGAGAGCGAAAGCGTCTGCACGTCAGCGAGATGATACTGACGTCAGCAGCGCCGCAGCCGACGCGGGCGAAGATATCGACGATTAGCTCGTCTGGCAGCAGCGAGAACGGGTCGCGCGCGGATTGCGGAGACGAGAACATCGCAGCCGCTGATGCAACACGAAACGCAGAAGTGAACGGAATCGCCAGAGCAGACGGCCGCAAAAGGCGGCGGGCGGAGAAACCGGGCCCCGTGTCAACGCATGGTCCGGCTGACAGAGATTTGGGCATCGTCGCTTGAGATTTGCATGCGACGTCGCATGCTGTCGCAGAGCCGGAATCAGCTGCGAGGACGCAGGCCTGCGACGCGCCGTGGTAGGGTTTGCTGGGCAAGGCGAGAGGGAATGGCTGCTGTCGAACGTTTTCCATGGCTGCTCGTCGTGAGCTTCAGAAAAGTAAAATCTAGAAACCTAATGTTGGCGATGTGCCGAAGCAGAATTGATGGAGACGAAGGAACGAAATATCTCGGTACGGGTTGAACGAGCAGCGCGTTAGAAGCGAAAGCTGAAGAAAACTCCGCAGAAACGGCGGCGCGCGGAAATACAAGGCAGGGGTTGAATGGGCTGCTCCAAATATCTCGAAAAGACGGTAACAGAGAGATGAAAACAGAACGGGTGGCCAAGAATCAAGGTAAAAGGTGATAGATATTTGCACGAATGAGCCACAGGCGGCTGTGGCATTGGCTGATAACCGCTGAGCGAGAGGTAGACGCAATGTTGAGAAAAGGGGGGCTTGTAAGGTCCTCTCTGAACGGAGCCAGGGGGAGGTATGAACGAGGGTTGACGTGACGACGGGACAACGACGAGAGACGGAGGGATGGCCCAGATGAAAGGAGAGAACGTTGAAGGGAGAAAAGAGCTTCAACCGCCAATTGTTGCGCCTTCAGTACTGTACTTCACACATCACAGTGCACACGCTTATGTTTTCTTCGCACTGTGCTGCACTGTTGCACAGCTCTGTGAGCTGCGTGTGCGAACTGTTCTGTGCAGCTGTGTGGAATTCTGTACTGCATGGAAGTGAGGAGAGGAAATGGGGAAGAGAAACTGGTCAGGATTCAGTTCAGTTCAGCGAGGGACGGAACTTCAGATCAAGTGAGGCGCACTTGGCGGTTGAGCAATGCCCACCTGGCCTGCAGAAGAATTTCGGCGTCTAGCGGTACAGTCGAAGTCAACCCGCGCCAGCACACCAAAATGTTGCCAACACTGCGCTTCCATTTCCCCTACCCGATTTATTCACGAATGCGATTTGGGAGGAATTGAGGGAATGGGGGAAGAGAGGAGGGAGGCAATGTGGGAGAAGAAGGGTTCAGGGCAGGTCTCTCTACAGTGTTAACCTCTTCCGTACTGAACTGTACAGTGTGTGCTCCACACATACACAAATGTGTATACTGAACAGCTCTTTGTGTCACAAATGTTGTAGTTGAGCCCGAAAATTGTTGTCAGCGGAATGAATGTTGTGCATACACATCCATTCCGCTGACAGCAAATGTGTAGTCATGAACGACCAATGGAAGTTGAAGGTTTGTCCGGGCAGAAACACTTCACCCGTCACCTGGCTGACCCGTGAACTTTGAGGGCTGATTGGAAGGTTAGGGATAAATGGGCGACGAAAGGATATTACAGTAGAACGTTACTCTGTGCCACTTGCGGACATCTGAAAGGAGCAGTAGGCAAGTTCCTGACTGTAGTACAAGGTCAGATACACCTATGAACATTTGGTCGCTGCCCCATGTGGTCCCATACCAAGCACCACCATCAGGCCAGCACCAAAATCTTGAAATCCACGTCATTCGTATAAACGGCTGGCAGATCCACCTCATGGGCACACCACTCTCCCATGTGCGTGGCACAAACCAGGTGTAGATTTGACCTGCACACCAAGCTCACGATTCACACGTCTCTCGGCGCGACCGCCATAGTTTTCAGTGTGACGCCAAATCGTCACGGATTCGCGCAACTTTGAATGGTTTTGACCGATTCGACACAGCTGGACAACAAGTGACGCTTTATTCAGCAAATCGAGGTGCTTCGTAGAAGCCATACGCCAATGAAATTCCTCGTTTCGTGGAAAGCTGGCAAGTGCGTCGGCTGCGAGTCAGAAAAATATATCTCAACGAGAAGATATTGATCCTTGGGTGGCAAGTTGAGGGGGCAACATCCACGCTGTCCCCAAACACTCGCTTGGCCAGCAAAGCCCTTGTGCCGCATTAATATTTTTGTAAAGTTCCCGCCAATAGTCCATGGTGCTGGTGTAAAGCTGACAAATGTACTCTCCTTCTCACACGGGCGATCCGTGCATGTTGGAACACACAACCAGCTTGGACGCGCAAGTGTGCAGCATTGTGTATGTCGAAATCAATGCGGGTGAAGCACAAGCGCTGTACAGTGGTGGATCATTTGATCTGGAATACGAAAGCACGATTGAGGGGTCGCTATCACTGGACAAATGTCACAAAAAAAGGGCACAAAAATCGAACACCTAGAATTGGACCTAGGGTTGGGTAATGACTTGAAGGTGATAACAGGCACAAATTACAGCAATGATTTTCGAACTCTTCCGTACATTAACGTATCTATAAAGACTGTGTCTTTGTGTAATTTAAAACAAAACCAGTGTTTGCAAGTCCAATAGCTGCCGCCTGTCCCTCTGTTTATGTGTTCCCCGGAAGTACCCAAATTACTTCACTAGTACACTGTTTAGCATTTAAGACTCTCTATGAATGCACCAAGACCAATGTTTCTGAAACTATTGCTCTAGGGCGTATTTTCCAATCATTCGTGCATATCAAAGCTGCAGCCGTGCTAGCAGAAAAATGAATCGCTTATAAATGCAAAACAATATGGGCATTGCAAGGGAGACTTAGTTTATAAAATTAATGCAAACCAATGGGATGAGTTTCTTTTTAAGGCCAAACAGGAGAACTAACCACCAGCTTCACAGGTACTGAGTGCCCATGTTGGTCTGTCCACAAGATGCTTCCGAACCTAAACTCGTTTAGAGGGAGAAACCTTATGATGGTAACCCTAAACAACTTGGACTTCCCCGGCGGAATAACCATCTGTTTCGGCGATACTTTCACTGTAAACCCAGGTGGAGGGTCCACTTTGGCAGTATAAATAGACGGTAGATTGTAGACGTTTTTCACTTTCCGGTACACAACAATAACGCCGTGTAACCTGGTTACCGCGATCGAAGGCCGATTGATGCTCCAGGGGAAAATTGGCCGAGCCTTCCCCATTCGCCAAAACCGCTTCTTCGCTCGTAGCGGGTCCCTCCCCATGAGAAAATTCACGAACTGCTTCTGCGCGCTGTGAAACGTGAGCCCGGGATCGAGCACGCGTGTGGGATCCACGTGCCCGCCTCCATAGTCCCACGCGTTCGCCTTCGACCCATCCGCCCGCTGAATCGGCTGCCCGTTTTTATTCTTCGTATACGCCGTCGTCGTGATTGCGGATATCACCTGCGCGGGCGACCAGTTAGGTTTCTCCTGCACGATCAGCGCCATGATTCCCGCCAAATGCGGCGTGGACATGGATGTTCCCGACCAGTAGTTAAACTCCGGCGCGTCAGTCGCGGCGGTCGCGACGGCCTTGCCCGGCGCCGCGGCCCATAGCTGGAACCCTGGGCCCATGACGTCGGGTTTAAGGATGTCATTAGTAGGGAAGTCGCGGATTAGGAGCGCGGGCGGGTAGCGCGCGCTGCGGGGCGGTCCGGTGGACGAGAAGAAGGCGACTTGGGGGGCGTTGGTGGATTGAGACTCGGTGTAGGCGGATAGAGTGGCTGTGGGGCTGTGTGGGGGGGAAAGGGAGGGAGTGGGAGAAGAGAAGAGGGGAGGGGAAAGCGTGACGCAAGAGAAGGCGATTTGTGGGGCGTTGGTGGAGTGAGATTCGGTGTAGGCGGAACCAGTGGCTGTGGGGCTGTGGGGGAAGGGGAACAGGGGAAAGGGGGTTGGGAGGGGGAGAAGGGGGGTTGCAATGCAAGCGTGTGAGGTCCCAGGGGAGAGGGGGGATGAGGAATTGAAAGAGAGAGGGGAGGGGGGGGAAGGGTACAGGGGAGAGTGGATGAGACAGGGCGTTGTTAGTGACAGAAGGGTAACATTGACCGGGGGGAAAGGGTTGGGGGTATTGCGGGTATAGGGTTTAAGGGGGAGAGGGGAAGGGGAAGTCGGGAAAAGGAAAGGGGAGACTGTAAGTGGGAAGGAGGACTGAAGAAGGGGGAAGGGGACTGGAGGGGAGGGAAACATGGGAAGAGAGAAGCAGCAGGATCACATGCTCTCCAAATACAGTAAAGTTTCCAAAACAGTCTGATATAGCCACCGCAACTTCCTTATGCTCTTTATCTTTCTGCCACGCAATAGCAGAAGGAAGTTGCTGAGAAGTTTGAAGTAAACTCAAAAATAGGCTCACCTGCTTTCCGCCTGCATACAGGTCTTGATCGCCTTGCCACGCGCGTATTGCAGGAAGATGCTGGGTGTTTGCGAGCCGAGTCAGAAGCAAGCTCACCTGGGCTGAGAGACAAGCAGCCGTCTCACCTGCTTTCCGCCGCGATGTAACTCTTGATCGTCTTGCCACGCGCGTATTGCAGGAAGATGCTGGGTGTTTTGGTAAAGGGCATGCGATGCTGCATGTCCACCTTGGGACTCCCGCTTATAACGAGGATAGCAGCTGCCCCCATCGAATCTGCGTCTGCCAGCAGGAGCCCCATCTTGCGTGTGCGCAGGGTGCACACGAGAAACTTCCCAGAAACTGCGGTCCTGCTGATGTGCCCGCTGTAGCACTGCTGCGCCTGGCAGGAGGCGCGAGGAAGGGAGAGGAGGGGAAGGAGGGGAGGGGAGGGCAAGGGAGGGAGGGAGGGAGGTGAGCGTGGGGGGAGGGGATGAGAAAAACCAGCAGCCGTTCAGGCTACCATGAATGCAAGGAAGACACCGAATGTAGCCGTAGAGAAGGGGAGAGAGGTCGAAGCTCCCTCGAGCACGTGAAATGTACGAGCTCATTTTGGCCTTATCCCCTCCAGACAGCAGAGCTGATTCAGCCAGAATACGGGGCAGATCTGAGCCCGTGGCAGCAGTGCCGAATAGTCATTGAACTATGTGCACCTCCCTCGTACTCACCTTCCACTCGGGCCATGTGCAGAGAAAAATAGATTCGACCCCAGGGACCCAGAATCACCTTCCCCAGGTGCCATGTGTTCAGCTCACCTTGGCCTTATCCCCTCCGGACAGCAGAGCTGATTCAGCCAGAATAAGGGGCAGACCTGAGCCCGTGGCAGCAGTGCCGCCCAGACTGCGCCCATTGAAGGTGGTGGCATCCCCTAGGGTCAGCACCGCTTTGTATTCCCGCCCTATCGTGCTGTGGCGGAGGAGGGAGGGGTGAGAGAAGGGGGGGTAGAGGGGGAGAGGTGACTTAGACTGCGGCCTGTGAGGCGGTGGCATCCCCTAGGGTCAGCAATGCTGTGTGTTCCCGCTCTATCATGCTGTGGCGAGGGGAAGGGAAGAGATGGGGTGGGAAGAGGGAGAAGCGCCTAATTCGTCAGTATAGGTAAAAGGCCTGATTTGTCATTGACTTCTATACAGAAGGCCTGAAAGATGTGCGCTAAAAGAGGGTCTGTATAGGGGTAAGCCTACTTGAATCCAAGCATTTTCCAACAAGCCCTGGTCAATGGAGGTTGAATCCAAGGGTTCGAGAGGTTGGATAATGGAATCCCGTTGCGAGGAATGAAGGCGATTGTATCAGTTGGAATGTGGAGAGGAGTGGGAGGTAGAATCGCGAGATGGCCTCTGAAGCATGGCCCGACTGCCTCTCCTCTCCTTCACTCCTCATATACCTCGCTCCCATGCTGAGGCACTAGGGCGACAAGTCCCAAGGGGGACTTTTGAGGCGCCTCGGAAGATACCTCGCTCCCATGCTGAGGTACAAGGTGACTTTTGAGTCGACTCAAAAGTCAAGGGGGACTTTTGAGGCGCCCCATAAGATACCTCGCTCCCATGCTGAGGTACAAGGGCGAGACGTTCCCATTTTGCCCCAGAGCTTCCTGTTGTTGCCTGCTACATTCCCATTCATTATAGTCACTCATTAACCACCGCACCTTCCCGCCCTCCCTCACACGCACCTTGCTCCCACAGTGAGATAGAAGGACGAGACGTTCCCAAGGGTGCCCCAGATGCTTCTGGGCTTGCGCTTTCCCCTCTTGGGAATGCCTCGCCCCCTTCTACCCCACTCCCCCTCGATCACCCCCAACTCCCCCACCCCACTCCCCCTTGACCACCCGCCCCGCAAGTCAGCACGTACCTCGCTTCTGGGGATGGGTCCCCCCTCGTTGCCCGCTATATTACCATTCATTATAGACACACACTACCCCACTCCCCCTCCACCACCCCCCACTTTTCCCCCCACCACCCCCAACCCACTCCCCTTGACCAACCCCCACTCAGCAGCACGTGCCTCGCTCACACAGTGAGGTAGAAGGGCGAGACGTTCCCAAGGGTGCCCCAGATGCTGCCCGGGTTGGACTGTGCCTGTCACAGTCGTTGCCTGCTGTTGCCCCCTTTCATTGAGATCACTCACTACCACACTACCCCCCACGATCTCCCCTCTCTCAGCACGTGCCTCGCTCCCACAGTGAGGTAGAAGGGCGAGACGTTCCCAAGGATGCCCCAGATGCTCCTAGGGTTGGGCTTCCCCTCGTTGCCTGCTGCACTCCCACTCGTTATGACCACTCACTACCCCACTCCCTCCCGGCCATCCCAATCCACACATACCTCGCTCCCACAGTGAGGTAGAAGGGCGAGACGTTCCCAAGGGTGCCCCAGATGCTGCTGGGGTTGGGCTTGCCCTCGTTGCCTGCTGCAAAAGCTGTCACCACCCCCGCCTGTTCAGGGGGCAAGAGGACAGAGAGGGACAAAAGCAGGGAGGAAACAACGGAGCAGCGAGCATGAAAAGTTGCTGTTACCCTCGCTGCCCGCTGCAAAAGCTGTCCCCAACCCACCCTGCATGCACCCCTTCAGGCTTTGCATGTACAAGACAAGGCGGCACGTACCTTCAGGCCGCGCAGATACGGCAAGTCTTGGAAGTACATGGCGAGGCCACCCCACGAGCACGAGATCACATCCACACCGTCGGCCACAGCCTTCTCAGCAGAACCAATCAGGTCGGACGAAGCCCCCGTGCCCTCATACCCGCCAATGGTCCACAGTGCCTTGTACACTGCTAGTCGTGCCCGCGGCGCCATGCCTGACGCTGTGCCGTAGCTTCGACCTCCTGTGGTGACGGTTACTCCTGCGTTGCCTGCTGCTGCTCTGGTGTGTGGGGAAGGGATGGGGGGGTGAGGGGAGGGGAGGAGAGGGCAAGGGAGGGAACGGACGGGGCTGAGTTGAGGCGTGTCAACTAGACTCCAGTACCCTCATACCCCCCTATGGTCAACAGTGCCTTGTACACTGCTAGTCGTGCCCGCGGCGCCATGCCTGACGCTGTGCCGTAGCTTCGACCTCCCGTGGTGACGGTTACCCCTGCATTGCCCCCTGCTGCTCTGGTGTGGGACGAGGGGAGGGCAGGGCAGGGAAGGCAAGGGAGGGGAGAGAAGGGGTTGTTGAGCTGTCTCAAAGCCCAGTGCCCTCATAACCCCTAATGGTTCACAGCGCCTTGTACACTGCTAGCCTGCTGCTCTGGTGTGTGGGCAGGGGAGGGCGGGGCAGGGCAGGGAAATTTAGGGGAGGGAGGGCGGGGAGGAGGAGAGACAAGGCTGTTGAAATGCTGTGCCGGTGGCTCCTGCCCCCTGTGGTGATGGCTACCCCTGCGTTGCCCGCTGCCACTCTGACGTGTCTGAAGGGTAGCACGGGGAAGGGGCGCAGGGCAGGGCAGGGCAGGGCAGGGCAGGGCAGGGCAATGGAAGGGAGGGAGGGCAGGGGAATATAGACACGCACAAGACCCATGCTCCACACATGCAGTCAACCTACTAACCCCACTCATCTTGCCATTGCATGCCCATGCCTCACCCAGGCAATCCTCTCACTCACCCCGCACACCACGTGCCGTGCTGCACTTTATCCCGAGCCGACCGGAACTCTTCGGTTTCGTCCAGCTTGCCAAATGTGTACTCCGCGCCCTTCACAAAGTAGCGCGCGCCGATCAGCTTGTTGTTGCACGATTGGAAATCGGCCGTTTTGGTGCACACACCCCTCCAGCGCGTGGGCTTGGCTGAGTAGGCTGCTCCGTTGGGGTCCTGAGAGGGAGAGGGAAGGGGTTGGGTGGGAGAGAGGACAGCCAGTCAGCGCCCTTCACAAAGTAGCGTGCGCCGATCAGCTTGTTGTTGCACGCTTGGAAATCGGCAGTCTTGGTGCACACGCCTCGCCACCGCGTGGGCTTGGCGGAATAGGCCGCTCCGTTGGGGTCCTGGCAGAGGGGACAGGGAAGAGACTCAGTGATGAGGGAACTCATGCCTGGAAGTCTGCAGTCTTGGTGCACACGCCCTGCTAGCGTGTGGGCACAGCAGCATATGCAGCACCATTGGGGCATGGGAAGACAGGCACTCACAGGTTTGGCGAAAGAGGGGTGCCCTGACCAGATCCCAAAGTCTATCTCCCCCATGATCATGCCCTCCCCCGCACTGCTCTGCCCGCCAGCAGCCGGCCAGAGACTGGAGTCCATCTTGAGGAACTGGGGCAACTATCCTGCGAGTGCTCCGTGGTCATGCGCAGTATTTTGTCTGGCTTAGTCACTCCCTGTCGGGCTCAGTCACTCAGAGCACTCACCGGGTCAGCGAAAGAAGGGTGCTCGGGCCAGATCCCCGAGTCTATCACGCCGATGATCATGCCCTCCCCAGCACTGCTCTGCCCGCCAGCCGCCGGCCACAGGCTCGTGTCCATCTTCAAAAATTCAGGGGACTGCACGGTGGTCATGCGCACTACCCTGTCCGGCTCCACGTCCGCCACTGCGGGGTGAAACCGCAGCCGCTTCGCTTCCGCTGGGGTGAGCTGCACTGCAAAGCTGTTCATCAGGTACGAGTAGCTGAAGAGGGGGGAAGAGAGGGGGGGGAGTTGGAGAATGGGAGAAAGGAGAGAGGGGAGGCAGAGGTAGCGTGAATGGGCAGCCGCTGTAGACTTGAGTGCAGTTGCTACCTCCAACTTGGGGTGAAGTGGCAGCCGCAGTGAATGGGTAGCGTGAATGATGCGTTGTTGAGTCCATGTGGAGAACTTGGGCGAGAGCCGCTCACATGCAGCTCACATGCAGCTCACATGCAGCTCACATGCAGCTCACAACGCATCATCTTTCACAAATACACTAGCGACTCTCTCTCCAGAGGGCTGAAGAAGCTGGGATTGCAATCTCTCACCACCATAGCTCACCAGTGGAAGATCGAAGAGACTGGATTGTTGAGGTCATCTGACATGACATGACATGACATGACATGACATGACATGAACCGAGACCATCTGAAGTGCTCTGCTCACAGATTTCACGAGTGGCTTTCCAGTGGAGTGTGAAGGAAACCTCCTTCCATTGCCATGGCTCACCTGTGGAAGATGGAAGAGACGGGAATGTTGAGTGATCTCAGTAGGCTGCGGTGGGAAGATTCCAGGAAGCGCGTGAAAGCCTGCACGTGCGGTAACCGCACGTCGGGTCGCATGAGGCGGCCCCACGGCGTGGTGCGCATGATGTGCGCGGCTCTCACGCTCAGCTGCTGCGCTGTCAGCACGGGTGACGTGGCTCCCGCTGCTGCTGACGTGGATGCTGATGCTGAGCTCACGCCACGAATGGTGCTGAGGGCAGCAGCAGCAGAGTTGTGTGCAAATTGAGAAAAATTGGTAAAAGGAAGTTTAAAATCATCCAAAGCTTCACCACCACCACCATCACCACTACCAGCATCGGCGTCACCATCAGCACCTGCTGCTTCTTCTGCTGCAGCGGCCACTGCAGCAGCAGCAACGCGAGCCAGCAGTCTCCGACCCAAGCCAGCCGACTGCGATCGGAAATTTCTCAGCCGCAGACCCACCCGCCTTGCCAGATCGTCCATCCTCGCCTCTCTAAACGCCAATGCGCTGATTCCCACTTTCTTTCCTAACCGTCCCCCTCCCACACCTGCTGCTGCTGTTGCTCCAAACCCTGCCACGCCTGCTACCCCTGCTTCTCCCGTTCCCTCTGCTTCCCCTGCTGTTCCCACCACTCCGCCAATCTCCACTGCTGCCTCGGCAGCAGCCACAGCAGCGGACAAAATATCCTCATTAAACGTATCCTTCCCAGATTTTGATCCCAACCCCGAGATTCGATTCGATTCTGATCCTGCTGCTGGTGCTGCGGGCGCTGGTGTTGCTCCTGCTGCTGCCGGCGCCGGTGCTGCAGCTGACCCTGGTGCAGTGCTGCTTCCCCCATTACCACCATTGCCACCACTACCACCACTACCACCACTGCTACCAGTACCACCAGTGTCACCACTGCCAGCACCAGGAGCACCACCCCCCTCCGCCCCATCATCCTCCCCATCATCCTCGTCATACTCATCCTCTTCATCGTCTACAGTCGCTGTCGCCCTCAGCCCGCTGATCCCTCCCCGGTACGACAGCACTGACGGCACGGACCTCAAATGCACGATGTACTGCTTCGCGTTCGGCCTTCGTCCTGCTGCTAAGAGGAAGGGGGGAGGGAGGGGGGAAGGGAGAGGGCGGAAGAGTGCAACAGGGAGGAAGGCGCAGGAATTAGAGGGTCTCAGCCCGTTGATTCCTCCCCGATACGATAGCACTGACGGCACGGACCTCAAATGCACGATGTACTGCTTCGCGTTCGGCCTTCGTCCGGCTGCTAAGAGGAAGGGGGGAGGGAGGGGGAGGGTACGACAGCACTGACAGCACGGACCTCAAATGCACAACGTATTGCTTTGCATTCGGCCTTCGTCCGGCTGCTAACATGAAGAGGGGAGAAGGGAAGGGGAGGAGGGAGAAGGGAGAACAGCAGGGCACGGACAGTCGAGCCCTCTCTGATGCGACAGCACTGACGGCACGGACATCAAATGCACGATATGCTGCTTCGCGTTCGGCCTTTCGTGCTGCTGGGATAGAGGAAGGGATCGAAAGTGACGGGATGATTGAGAGCGATGGGGATAATTATCAAGGCTTCGAAGCTCTCCGCTCGTTGGCTCCCCTACTTGTAGAATTCGAACCAGAACTAAGGCGCGTCTTATGGGATGGGCTAAAAAAAACAACTATTAACCAAGAACTGTGGCGCTTCCACTGCGTGACTGAAGCTCTAAGAGTTCGTACATGACGCTTCGAAGCTCTCCGCTAGTTGTCTCCCCTCCTATAGGCTATCAACTATCAACTGAGGCGCTTCAAGTGCAGAGAACTGAGGCTCTCAGTATCCGGAGTTGAGGCTTCGAAAAGGAGGCGCTTGAGATTCGGAGCTATGGAACTCAAGCGTACTGAGGCGAATACATTCCGGAAGAAATCATCGTACTTAGTTCTGTGTTGAGTTCTGAGTCGACTCTGAGTCATCGTACCTGCTTGTGTGTTCACAGCAGCGCACGGAGGGAGCATATCTCCCACTAGGGCGACGACGACGAGAGCCATCGCGACGACGGCCAGAAGCCATGAAAATCCGCCAGTGGCGGATTGAGTTAGTTTCAGTTGATGCATCACGATCGCCAATCGGCGCTTTGAACTCTAAACGTCTCTAAGTAGGCTGACGCGGTGTTGGTAGCTAGAAGCAGGCGAGGCGGCCAAGACACATTGTACGTCGAGCTGGGAAAGGATTGATAGGCCTATGTCGCCCCTTCTAAGCTCTCGATAAGTAGACGAATGCTGAGGACTTGAACCAACGGCTGCAAAGGCCCTTCCGCTACTTGCGAAGACAAGATCAGACACTGGGCTCTAACAACTCGTCGCGCTTAATACTCGCAATTCCTGGATATCACATCATAGCAGAGTGTGCCTCCAGGCAACCACGGTTCCGTCACAAAAAAGACAGCAGAATCTGTGTTTGGAACGAGAGACGTCAACCTCGGTCAGGAAAAATGAGAATGCAATCCCAAGGTCTAGCCTACTTGCCGCAGACCAGGTAGTTGACATTTCAAAACTAGCTGTTTGTCGGTCGCCCAATTTCCATGCTCCTGTATTCTTTGCAGCAACGACATTGCCGTGGTTCGGTCGGTTGGCCGTGGGATTGCCCCTGCGTGCCTCTCTCAACCATCGATGTAGATGGTTCTGTTGACCCTCGCGTGCATGATTCCTGCTGCTGCTGGGTCCTGCCTGCCCTGCCTCGCCCTCCCGTGACGCACTAGGTCGGAATCACCGCGCCGGAGTTTGTGATACTGTACAGTACAGAGGGCAGTGGCCGGGCTCATTGCCGAAAAACGTATTTGTTTCCCCCTGGATTTCTAATATGTGTCGGAATTTGCCCATGAACGAACCTCACGTTTTCAGTTCGGTTCCTTGTCGGGGTGGTGGGAACCCCCAACCAGCCCTCACTACAAGGGAAGCACCCAATTACAGTGAAGTTCTTGTGTAGCGCGAAGCAGTTTCTCGCGGTTTCCTGTGCATTCAACCCAATGGGCCATTGCCCCTAACCAGAAACATTGGCATCTGACAGCACGTTCGAGACTCGCTGATGCTGCGAGCGAACCGCGGATCAGCTGCCCCAATGCTTCGTGGCCCATCCTGATTTGTCCCCGTCTGGCATGGGTTCCCTGATCAGAAGGCAATTCGTGAAAGCGCAATCTTCCACCGAATTGTACACTTCAGCATTGCTTGAAAATTTGAAATACTTCACTAAGGGGGTTATTCAACTTCACAAGACCAGAAAACATAATACACCAACATGCATGACACATGTAAAATAAATCAGTACCTGCACTGGCATATGGACTCCCTCGTTCCCGAGTGCTGGATATCAAGAGAATCTCAGGTATTTTCATAGTTTCCTGCCCTGTACTCCTTGTTCTAATATTGGAAGGAGTGCTCCTTACATACCATAGGGCTTGTGGTAAACGAGTAAAGCTTTGAGGTGGCATAGAAGTGATGGCTTCACAGGAAACTCTATGTTATATAGTAGTGTCAGTGGCAGACACACTCCCACGGCCTATCATAGAAGTGCCATCTACTTGACTTTATGGGAAGCTCAGCCACTTGTTTTCTGTGCTCGCGCACCCTTTGTCGTAACTCTTCCTGTCCAGCTGCTCCTCGTGCTAGTGCTGGGAGGAGTGCTGGCACAAAGGGCTGGTAGGTTTCCTGTATAAGAGAGAAATAGTCAAGCTTTGAAGTGGTATAACAAGATGGCTTCACTGGCATAAACTTGCCTTTTGTGCTCCCATGTAAAATCTATGTCCTCTAAGAAGGACAGCAATGCTGCTTCTTTTGTTGGTCATAAAAAAATCGCTGCCATGAAGGGAGGGGAAGCAATTGAGGAAGGTGAGAGCTCAGGGGGGGGACTGGGGCAAGAAGAAAACTGTAGCAGCTGCAGCACACGCAGCATTATTCACCATCACAAGAACCCTCACCTTTCAAGGCTGACGATGTAGTCAATTGCCTGCATTAGGTGGGAGCTTATCGGGGCCATGCTTGAATCCAGAAGATCACACCTGCTGACTACTTTTCCAGGAAAAGCTGACCTCAACGGCGTCAAAAGCTGCTCCACCTTGTCACAGCTTCCACCCACGTACACGTTTGTATGGTTTCCAATGCTAATTGCCTGACCCACGAAAGAGGAATTCCAGGTGGGAAATGAGTGAGAAAATTATATGGACACCTCAAACAGGTGGAAAAAAATACATGGTCAACATGCCTGGAGAATGCGTGTGACCTCGTTTGGTGACAACGGGCAGAGACCCTCAAGCTTCTGATGATTGGCTGCACCAGAATCACTTTGCACTCTCATGTGGTGGGTTGCAAACCATTCTTGAACCATCTGTGCCGTCTCGGAATCATAGACACAAGCTGTTTGGGACAGACATTTTGTTAGGCAACCCCAATTTGTTGCAACATACCGTAATCATACATTAACAAAAATGCTCGACTTACTTGATCTCAGCATGTTCCTATCTTGGAAGCTCAAGTGGAGTGCAACATAAGGACCCTCCGCGTGGAGCCTTTCGACAGCATTCGCTCCAAGCCCTAGGGTCTCACTGGTAAAAAGTAAAGCGTGGTAGAGCACTCTACACCGTAGGCGCTGCCAAAGAGGACCACCTTTTTTCTCATTTTTTCTGGTACAGATAGTGGAATTAGCCAATCTCACCAAAGCAAGAGGTTGTACCTGATAAACTTCTGGCAAGTCCCGGGAAAGGGAAAGAAGGAAGTGGTCCAACACTGCCACTCCTTCCCCTTGAAGAACAGGTGCCACATTTTGAAGGTACCAGTCTACATTTAGCGTCCGGTGATCAGGTGGAGCGTGCTCCAAAGTATCAGACGTCACTGTAAAATTCGCTTGTCTGCACCAATGTTTCAGAGGCTTAATTATCTGAGAAGAAAGTGCTGCAGAAAAGGCTGTTGCAAGGCATACCTGACGATGTTGACATCATCTTTCAGGGTTTCAATGAAATGTTCTTCAGAGAAAATATTTCCGAATTGGCTGTATGTGAAGGCAGGATGAAAGTTTGGCTAGTTGCGAAAAAATGCGGAAAATCGTGCTGACTTGCCTGATCTCCTCGTGCGATGACTTAGCAAGGAGGATCGGGACAATAAGTGTCGCATTGAGGATGCGAGCAATCACAACCGAGTTAGCAATCGCCCGCATCTGCTGATAGAGGTCGCCTCTTACGTAGACATACAACAAACCATTCGACTTCAGCGACGAAACTGCAACACAAGATATATCAGTTAATATATGCCATTTCGCAAGCTGAAATGTCGGACTATGATACCGACCTTGAAATTCGCCTGGTCTCCTAAGCAAACATGGCCGAAGTCGACTAGATCGTGGGAAAGTGTGGTGCAGGAAAAAATCGGAGCTCGGATTTGACTTCACAAGACTTTCTGAATCCATCTCGAGCCTCACAGAATTCGTTCCGCTTTGCTCAAAAGAAATCGCAGCTAGAAAAAAGCTACACAACAACACCACTTTCAGAGAAAGGCGCGCCATCTTGCGAGCTGAAGTGGTCATCGACGCGTGTGTATGTAGTTGAGCTTGCAGCTCTAATCTGAACAAGCTGCAGATCACGACGAGAATGAAGTGGAATGTATGTATGGGTGGTGCTTGGTATTTTTCACAAATCAGAGGCTGGGAGAGGAGGGGCCGTGAGTTGCGTCAGTCTGTCGATTGGTGATTTCAACACAATCAATCGGACGGCTCAGAGCTGGCTAAGTCCGAGTAATTTTGATCAGTTTACTGTTTCGCAGACAATTTTTGCTTGGGTCAGGGCCGTCGCCAAATCTCGAAATTAGCTCTGGCGAAACAGCTCGAACTTGTTACGAACTCATTGCTGTCGGGTTTCCATAACCTGTCCGGCTGGACAAACTTCAAGGCACAAAGCAGGCTTGTTCAACACCTCGTTTGCCTTGAAGTTTGTCCAGTCTGCTTTGTGCCTGGACCCAAACTCATGTTTGCGCCATCTGGCATCTGCTCATCATCACCACCGTTCCCGCTCCTGCCGGTCAATTGCGGGCCAAGCTTCAAGCCAAATCACAAGGCGAATAAAAAGGTGACCACAGAAATCCAAGGCATATCCGAAAGGTGGGTTTCGAAAGCCTTTTCTGCAACACTGTGTGATCTGTAATCTCGAATCTGTAATAACTGACCAGCGGAGCCTCCACCGCCTCTTTCCAGACAGATCTCCCGGGTCGCTTGCCCCGTAATAGCCTGTTTTTAAGCCTTTGCGCAAGATATAGTAGCTGAATTTAGTTTTGAGTATCGCTATGGCGTGTAATCCAAGTCCACTCAGGATAATCTCTTGGTCCATAGTTTTATCGTTTTCCGTTCTGATGCGCGCCTCCGCTGAGATTTCAGCTTCGATTGCAGCACTAAAGGCAAATCCGTTTCACAAGCTCTTCAACCCTTCCTGGAAGCAGCCTCGAACTAGAATCTCGTGTCTTTCCGACAACAGGGGCCAACATCAAGAAGGTGGGCTCCCGACTTACAGAGGTTCTGCTACTGTCATACCATGTTCGCGATCAATTGCGATTGGTGTTCGAGTTCTAATTCTCCACGTACGTCTACCAGGAGAGAAGCGGTACCTTTACGTATCTGTCGGGGGTGGTCTCAATCAGCAACGAAGAGGAATTGCCAACGCAGTGGTTGTTGCAAAGATTATGAATGTCACTCTCATTGTTCCCAAATTAATCGTACATCCAGCCTGGGGAGACCAAAGGTGAGCCTCACGAAACATACATGGCAAATATTGTCCTTTCTGTTTCACTCCCATTCAATTCTAATGCCACTATTCATGTACTATGCAGCAAGTTCTCAGAGATTTTCAGTGTCCCGCACTTCGTTCAGACCCTGAAGAAAGATGTGGAAGTGATTGAGTAAGATGCCTCAAGCACTGTGCTAACACTGTGCTAAGCACTGTGCTTTCCAGGAAGTTCCTGGAAAAAAAAAAATGTCTATTAGTAACCACTGTGCTAACACTTCCCTCCCTGACCCAGAGATGTTCCTGCAAGCTTGAAATTTTCATCTTTAGAAAGGCTTGCCGCCATAAGCCTCCCTTCAGAGGCCCTCGAGCCAGAATGGTACATCAAGAATGCGCTCCCACTCCTTCAGAAATACGGGCTCGTTGTGTTTAATTACTTTTTCATGCAGCTTCAAGAAGATCTTCCAACCCCACTTCAGGTTTGATATATTGTTTTTAGCATTGCATCTTCTCATGTTTGAAGTCACTTTCTAACCCATGGCTCCGCTCATTCTTTGGCAGCACTTGAGATGTCGTGCTCAGTACCATGCTCTTCAGTTCGTGAGCCCTATTTTAAGGTATTCTGCCGGTACTGCTACACTCAGTTTTATTTTCATTACCAGCCTGTTCATTTTGCAGTGTATGTTAATGCAGCATGGGTCTTCAGGCTGTTCAGAAGCTTCAGAGCACTGGTCCTTACGTAGCTGTTCATCTACGATATGAACCTGACTGGATTGTCCATACAGGTGCTTTGACAACCTGCACTACACGAGGTTGCATCGCTTTGGTTGCATTGAGTTTTAGAACTTACAAAAAGTGTTTGCTTGTGGGCCTGTTCAGGCTGCCTGTATGATGAAGCAACAAATGCGTACATGAAGAAATGGGCGTCTGAGAGAAACATTCACTTTCAGTCCAATGTTACAGAAAGCGAATTGAGAAAACAAGCAGGTCTTTGCCCCATAACCCCTCAAGAAACGGCTCACATTCTGAAGGTATGTCAGTCTTTGTGTGGTGTTACTGCTTCCACCTATCATCCCAAGGTCTGTCCATGCATGCAGGAATGGTTATGCTTTTTTGTGTCTGATGACCCCAAGCCAGGCTTTGGGAGTTGACAGTATGACTACCATCTACATTGCTGGAGGAGCGATGAATGATGGAGCAAGGCTTATGAGGCCATTCCATCGAGCATTTCCTCGCCACATTGCAACGAAGGACGATTTATTGGAAAAAACAGTAAACGAGCTGGTCGGCAGACCATCTGTGCTTGCTGCTATCGACTACATTGTCTGCCTTCACAGGTGAGGAGGGCCTGACCTTCTTGCTGCTGATGAGTTGCGGATCCGTTTGTGTTAGTGCCCTTCAAGCCCCTTAGCACTTTTTGGCGACAGTGGCTTCTTTATGATGACTGCTGGTGGCAACATGGGAATGATGCTACGAGGTCACCGCTTCTACCTCGGGGATTTCAAAGTAAGTGGCTGACAACTTGCACAATAAGCATGTCCATGCAACTTCTCAGCAATTTTGGAGCCACAATTGTGCTCATCATTTGCTTGTTGTGTGCAGGAAACTTTTCAACCATACGGACCTGCTCTGGTTCCAGCTCTTTCAGGCTCCAGGCCCAACATGACCATGCTGGGAGATATCCTGGCACAGCAACGCATGCACAAGGCACAAGATCCCCTGGACGCAAGAAGGCTACTGAAGTTCTTTGACCGCCCTTGGGAATGTGTTTGTGAAAAAACACCGGATCATTTTATGATATAGCACATCTCAATAGTCACCGCTGGTGCGCTAGCACGCTTGTGTGCGAATAAGAAAACGGCTCTAGAAAACTGTGCTACTGGAAGCTCCTGTGCATAACTGAGAGTCCATTCTCCTTGAGCATACAATGACAAGTCGGCGCTGAGCAGTATTTTCGCCTAGATGAATTCGACAGCTGCTTATTGCAAACTTCACAATGCTACACAGCTGGGAGCGAGAGAACAATCACTAGACTCAAGAACAAGTGCTAACTTTGCCTAGGTGATCTTAATCTACACCTGCACTGGAAGCCATGGCGCATGCTGTGTCTGCAACATGGCATACGCTTGCGATGCTGTTCCTGAAAATCTTCCAGCATTCTCGAAAACTACAGGCAGGCCCTGTCTCAGCCCAGACAACGCAGCTGCCCTGGCATCAGCCCCTAGCCTCTCCAGCGCCACACTTTCCGCATTCACCTTGTTTCTCGCATTCTCCAAGGCAACTCTGCAGCTGGCAACCTCGGCTGCTGCTGCTGCTGCCTTCGCTTGCTTTGCCTGCTGCTCTGCTGGTGTCTCTGCGCCTGCTGCTGCTGGGCCTCCCAGGGCCAGCTGCAGTTCTCTCTCCTTCTGCTGCAGCTGCTCTAGCTTTGACTCTTGCTTGGACAACTGCTTGTGGCAAAAGGGGGTAAGGTTTCGGAGTTTAATGTGAGCCAAGTCAAGAAAATGCAGCTGCAGACCATGAGCAAAGGACCAACAGTGCTTCTAGTAGCTTGCAACCAAGAAGTGGATCGAGGAGGAAGGAAAAAGGCAGTAACTAAAGGAGGCATGAAGTGAGCAAGTCATGAAATCTTTAAAGTCTTTAGACTATACTCCCCAGATCCCTAACTGCTTCCTCCTCTCACCTGCTTTAAGCTGTCCTGCAGGATTTTGAGCTGCTTCATTTCTGCCTTCTGCCTTTCATACGCCTGGTTGATCCACCCACAGAACCCCATCACGGCATCCTTCACCTCCTTCTCTGGCAGCCGGTCCATCGTTCTCACCCAGTCGTTCCCCAGCGCCACCAGCGGCCCCTCCACGTGCTGCTGGCCTGAGGGAAAAGGGAAAGGGACGTGGGAAACACACACAGGGGGTAAGTGGCCGCCTCAACCATGCTTCACGTCACCTTCTCCGCCAAAACCCCCCATCATTCTGAGTCACTTCTTGAGGCACCTAAAACAAAGCGGCCGCCTCAACCATGCTTCACACGACCTTGTCTGGCAGCCACTCCATTGTTCTCAGTCTCACGCGTTTCTTTTCCAATACCGCCAACCGTTGGCCCTGTGTGAGAGGGGGAGGGGCGGTGCCGGGGAGAGGTGGATGGGCCGTGCTGAAGGAAGGAAGTGTGAGAACGGCGCTCTCACCTTATTGGCTGGGAAATACGGTGGATGGCAATGGTTGAGTTGCGCATTGGTTGGGAAATAAGGTGAAAACGGCTTTCCTGGTGGGGTGCGGAGGGGCAGCAGCAACACCATTGCCCCAGCAACACCTTTGCGGAATTCTCGACCATTCGCTGCCCAGCACCACTAGAGGCCCTTCCATATGCTGCTGAGAAATAAGGCAAGAATGGCATACCTGCTGGGGGGAAAGGGGGATAGGATAGGGAGACGATGCGGTGCGAAGATCAGTGCTGCATCGCTTACCTGGTGGGGAGAGGGAGGATCAGGAGAGGATCAGTGCTGCATTGCAGATCAGTATTGGTCGGCGCTCAGCATGCCACGTGCTGCCCCCGGGGGAGGCGCTGTGTGCCGGGGATAAGCGATGCAGTGAGGGGGGCTGCTTACCTGCTGGGGGGGATTGCAGTGAGGGGGGCTGCTTACCTGCTGGGGGGGATTGCAGTGTACTGCCCTGGGGGCGGGGCCGTGCCGGGGAGAGGCGGCTTGGGGAGGTCGGCCATAGCACACTGGGATGGGGTGGGGGAGGCGATAGCTTACCTGGTGGTGGGGGCGGAGGCTGGGGCGGAGCAGCGCCATCTGCACCCCCTGGTGCCCAGCGTTTTGAGACGTCTCGAAACACTTCTTCATACACAGCGCCATCTGCACCCCCTGGTGCCCAGCTGGCTGGGTGTTTTTGAGAATTCTCAAAAACACCTTGCGCCATCTGCACCCCCCGGTGCCCAGCTGGCCACGCACTGCCCCGGGGGAGGGTTTGTGCCGGGGAGAGGCGGTTTGGGGAGGTCGGCCATAGAACAGTGGGGAAAGGGGAGGCGATAGCTTACCTGGTGGAGGAGGGGGAGGCAGAGCAGGAGCAGCACCATCTGCACCCCCCGGTGCCCAGCTGGCCACGTACTGCCCCGGGGGAGGAGCCGTGCCGGGGAGAGGCGGCTTGGGGAAGTCCGGGGGGAAGGCGAGGGTCTTGCGCACCCAGGTGATGAGCGCTGAGAAGAACTTGCGCTGGGCTGCACACAGCACACTGGGAAGAGGAGACAGGGGAGGGGGTGGGAGAGAGGAAGGCCAGAGGATGAGTTGGGAGGGCTGCGGAGGCATAACACAAGGGTCTTGCGCACCCAGGTGATGAGCGCTGAGAAGAACTTGCGCTGGGCTGCACACAGCACACTGGGGGTGGGGGGATGGGGGGAAGGAGGGAGGGGAGAGACTGAGGAGAGCAGGAGGCATAGCACAAGGGTACATTGCGATGCAGGGGGGTACATTGCGATGCAGAGGGGTACATTGCGATGCAGAGGGTTACATTGCGATGCAGAGGGTTACGTACACTGACATTCAAGCGGATGCATTGGCATTCAGGGGGTTACCTGAGGGAGGAGTGCCACCTCTTGAACGCATCGTCCAGCTTCTTAGTCGCCTCGTGTCGTGCTGTGCCGGTTCGGAGAGGACTTCAGTACACCAAGAACCAAATGACTTGGTGGTGCTACTAGGTGTATTGAGTCGACTCAAAAGCCACCACATTAGCACCCTGGCATACCTGAGCGAGGAGTGCCACCTCTTGAACGCATCGTCCAGCTTCTTAGTCGCCTCGTGTGTGTATTTCTCAGAAGCGCTTGAGAATTCTCAACAGTGACTCAAACATTGAATGACATGCAAGTGTACATTCAATGCCATTCAGGGGGTTACCTGAGCGAGGAGTGCCACAACGCGTCTTGTGATGGCAATCAATGGCAATCTTGGTCGCCTCGTGCTGTGCTCGGTGAATTGAGTCGACTCCAAAGTCACCAGGGGGCACATTGCCATTGATTGCCATCACATTATGGCTTTCGAGTCGACTCAAAAGGCATCACATTGACACCCTGGCATACCTGAGCGAGGAGTGCCACCTCTTAAACGCGTCGTCCAGCTTCTTGGTCGCCTCGTGCTGCGCTTTTGTGGTGCTGGGCACCTGCAAGGGGGGTGGGGGTTTCAGGAGAGGCG